TTGACTGTGTGGATCACAACAAACTGTGGAAAATTCTTCAAGAATTGGGAATACCAGACCCCCTTACCTGCCTCCTGAGAAATCTGTATGCAGGTCAAAAAACAACAGTTAGCACTGGACATGAAACAATGGACTGGTTCCAAATTGGGAAAGGAGTATGTCAAGGGTGTATATTGTCACCTTGCTTATTTAACTTACATGCAGAATACATTGTATGAAATGCCAGACAGGATAAAGCACAAGCTGGAATTAAGATTATAGGGAGAAATATCAATAACCTCAGATACACAGATGACACCACCCTTATGACAGAAAGCGAAGAGGAAGTAAAGAGCCTCTTGATGAAAGGTAAAGAGCCTCTTGATGAAAGTGAAAGAGGAGAGTGAAAAAACTGGCTTAAAACTCAACATTCAAAAACTAAGATCATAGCATCTTGTCCCACCACTTCATGGCAAATAGATGGGGAAACAATGGAAACAGTGACAGACTTTATTTTCTTGGACTCCAAAATCACTGTAAATGGTAACTGCAGCCATGAAATTAAGACGTTTACTCTTTGGAAGAAAAGTTATGACAAACTTAGACAGCATATTAAAAAGCAGAGACATTACCAACAAAGGTCTGTATANAGCGTTTCTCATGATGTACTCTGCATATAAGTTAAATAAGCAGGGTGACAATATACAGCCTCGACATACTCCTTTCCCTATTTGGAACCAGTCTGTTTTTCCACATTCCATGTCCAGTTCTAACTATTGCTTCCTGACCTGCATACAGAATTCTCAATAGGCAAGTCAGGTGATCTGGTGTTCCTATCTCTTTTAAGAATTTTCCACAAACTGTGGAAGAGTAGCTTAAAAAAATAATAACTCAACTCTATGTTGTTTATAAGAAATTCACTTCAAACATGATGACAGAGGTAGCTTCAGAATAAAAAGATGGAAAAAATATCTCTAAGCCCAGATGACTTCACTGGAGTATTTTACCAAACATTGAAAGAATTAATAAATGATTTTAATCTATTTCAGAAAATAAGAGAGGAAGGACACTTTCCAACTAATTTTATGAGCCTATCCTATTCTGATCCCCAAATTAGACAAAAATAGCACAACAAAGAAAACCACAGACCATTACCCCTCATAAATTTAGATGTAAAAATCCTCAGAAAAATTTAGCAAATTAAAGAACAGATAAAAAGATGATATACCACAATCAAGTGGGGTTTATCTTTCCAGTTATAAAGGTTGGCTACATATTTCACAACCAAGGATGAAGGTCATATGAACATTTCAATTTACACAGGAGAAACATTTGACTAAATTCAACAAGTTAATCATTCATGATACAAATTCTATGGAATAAAAAAAGACTTAATCTCATAAAGAATATTTACAATGCCAATAGAGAACATCATACTTAATGGTATGACTTTCCCTATGAGACTGAGAAAACAAGGCAACAATATCTGGTTTTACCACTCCTACTCAACATAATACTGGAATTTCTAAACACTGTCACAAGTCAAGGAAATGCAAAAAAAAAAAAGAAGAAGACGACATCCAGATTGGAATGAAAGAAATAAAACTTTCTCTACTTGCAGACAACATGCTTGTTTATGTTGTAAATTCCAAGGAATGTACAAAAATCATCTAGAATTAGTGAGTTCAGAAAGATGGCAGGATACAAAGTTACTAGCAAATGTATTTCTATATGCTGATGACATTCAAGTGAAAACCAAAACTAAAGATACTACTTAGAATTGCTCCAAAGAAATGAAATAGGTATAAATCTAACAAAACATGCACAGGATCAATATGGTAAAATTTATGAAATGCTGATAAAGATACATAACTTGTTCAAGATTTGAAAGATTCAACATAGCAAAGATGGTAATTCTTTCCAAACTCATTTACAGATTTACCACAATCCTTAATGAAATCTTAACAAGATTTATTTTTATAAATATAGAAAGGCTTATTCAAAATTTTAGATGCAAAGGACCTAAAAGAGCCGAAACAAATTAAAAACAGAAAAGTGGGAGCAATCATTCTTTGAAATGTGAAGTGTTTGCTACTAGCTACAGTAATAATAACAGTATCATATTAGCAGAGGGATAGTCATATAGATGAATGGAACAGATAGAAAACGAAGAAATAGATCTACACAAATTTGTCCATCTACTTTTAACAAAGGAAAAAAATCATTCCAGTGAGAGAGATAGGGTTTTCAGTAAACGGTGCTGAAGTAGGTACCCACAGCAAAAACAAAAAATCCTAAACTAATCCTTCAACTTTATACAAATTTTAAATCAAAATGTGAGTTTTTACAAGTATGTAAAATGTAAAACTTCTAGAAAAAAAAATAGGATAAAATATTCAAGACCTATTAGGCAAGGAATTCTTAACCAAAAGTATGACTCATAAAAGGAAAATTTGATTAATTGAACCTTATAAAATATAAACTTTTGCTCAGCAATTGACCCTATTAATGAATATAAAAAGACAAATTATGGAAAAGGACATATTTGCAAATCACATATTTGACAGAGGATTTGCATGTGGAACTTACAAAGAACATCTCAAACATTTAAAAAGACAATCTAACTTTTAAAACAGGCAAAAAATATGCATAGACGTTTTATGAAATAAGATATGCATATGGAAAATAAGCACATGAAAAGACATTCAACATCATTAGGAAAATGCCAAATAAAATGGCATACCAAATACATACCATTCCTAATTACAGAAATAAATATAGTAATAATACAAATGATGGTGAGGATGTGGAGAAACTGGATCCATGATAAATTGCTGCTGGGACTGTAAAATAATACAGAGTAATATAATTTTTGTAAATGATATCTTGACCCTGGCTAGAGGTTGGTCAGTTTTCCTTCCTGAGCACCCAATTAAGCCCAAATTCCCAACTATTGATTTACTGGGCTCACCATTATTTGTTATTTTTGCTGTCAGTCACTAATTCATGTCCGACTCTTTGCAACCCCACAGACTGCAGCACACTAGGCTCCCCTGTTCTTCACTATCTCCCAGAGTTTGCTCAAATTCATGTCCACCGAGTCAGTGATGCTCCTTCTCCTTATGCCTTCAATATTCTCCAGCATCAAAGTCTTTTCCATGAGTCGGCTCTTCGCATCAGGTGGCCAAAGTATTGGAGCTTCAGCATCAGTCCTTCCAGTGAATATTCAGTCTTGATTTCCTTTTAGGATTGACTGGTTTGATCTCCTTGCAGTCCAAGGGACTCTCAGTTGTGTTCTCCAGCACCACAATTCCAAAGCAGCAATTTTTCAGTGCTCAGCCTTCTTTATGTTCCAACTCTCACATCTGTATACAACAACTGGAAAAACCTTAGCTTTGACTATAGGGGTCTTTGTCAGCAAAATGATGTCTCTGCTTTTTAATATGCTATCTAGTTTTGTCATAGCTTTTCTTCCAAGGAGCTGGTGTCTTTTAATTTCATGGCTGCAGTCACCACCCACAGTGATTTCGGAGTCCAAGAAAATAAAATCTGTTCCTGCTGCCACTTTTATCCCTTCTATTTGCCATGAAGTGATGGGACCAGATGCCATGATCTTCATTTACTGAAGGTTGAGTTTTAAGCCAGCTTTTTCACTCTCTTCTTTCACCCTCATCAAGAGGCTCTTTAGTTCCTCTTCACTTTGTGTCATTAGAGTGGTATAATTTGCCTATCTGAGGCTGTTGATATAGCTCCCGCAATCTTGATTCCAGTTTGGGAGTCATCCAGCCCAGCATTTCACATGATATATACTCTGCAAATAAGTTAAATAAGAAGGGTGACAATATACAGCCTTGTCCTACTCCTTAACCAATTTTGACCCAGTCCGTTGCTCCATGCATCTTTATTGGATTTTAACAGTCTGCAGGGCGTGCCTCTCACGCCCATGCTGTGACCTTACCCCTGGCAGGCTGGAGCCGGATTCTTCTCTCTGCCCTGCTTGGAGCACAGGGCCTTGACCACTAGTTAACTAATGCACCCTCATGCAAACACCATTTATCAGCTCAGTCCTTTCTCTGCTCATCTTCAACCACCACCATAAAGGAACATCTTGATCTTCGAATACAGCTCAGGACAGTTACATCTGGCTAGGATCTCACCACCAGAATTGTCCTTGAATTTACTGAACAACCATTTGAGGACTGAAACGGGCCATTAACTATTATTTTCTGCATATCTGAGGCCAGAAGAATCATTCACGACTAAATGTCTTGTCTTTAGAGAGATCAAGATACTGGCTAAGCTCAGAAGTCTGAAAGCCTGTCCTGTTTCCAAGTAACTGACAGGCCAAACGAAAGGGAATCAAGGAAAAAAAGAGAAGACAGGGACAAAACTGAACGGCCTGAGACCAAAAAAAAAGAACAAAGAGTTAGTTGGAAAGAGTAGGAGCGTTAAGAAGATGATTAAGTATAAGCGACAAGGCAGTAACAAGCGAAGAGAGCGGGAAGACGGGAACTCTGACCCTGAGAGGCGGGCACTGGTCACTCGCTCCCCGGAGCCCGGGATAGGGCAGAGAAAGGGCGGGGCCTGCGGAAGCTGCGAGCGGAGAGCGACCGCCCCGGATGCTGAGTGGTCGCGCCCTGCGGCGGTGGCCAATGGGCGCCCGGGATGTTGGAGCGGCAGCGTCGGTGGCGGCGCTCTCTAGCTCGCTCGCTCGCTGCTGAGGGGGTGAGGTGGGGGAGGGGGACGGCGGCCGCCGCCATGATGCTTGTTTGCTTTCAATGAAAACAAGGGGGACGCGGAGGAGGAGGAGGCGGCGGCGTCGGTGGCGGCGGCGTCGGCTGCGCGGAGGCGAAGGCAGCGGTGGGTGCAGCGAAAAGGGAGAGACCGGAGGCCGAGAGGCCGGGAGGGCGTAGTGGCGGCCCGTCGAGGAGGCTGAAGCGGGCGGCTGACGCGGTGGATCGCGGAGGGGGAACAAAGAGCGGCGACTAAGGCGGCAGCGGAGCGGCGACGGCGGCGCTGCAGCTGCGGGCGGGACTGGTATGGTGGTTCCACAGGTCAGACCCCGCTGCACTCACAGGGAGGAGGCGGCGGCAGCGGCGGAGGAAGGCGGTGCACCGCAGGAGGTGAGCGAGACCGGTCCGAGGCCCAGCCGGCGCTGCTCCTCGCACTGGCGGTGCACGGGCCCCTCTCAGTCGTGTCCCGGGGACCGTAGCGCGGGGCACTGGAGCCAGAGCTCCTTAAGTTTTGTGGGCGTCGGGCCTGCAGCTTGGAGGAGATGGCGGCTGTTGAGGGGTCCTTAGATGCGCAGCTGTCGCGATCCCGCAGGTTCCGGGACCGCGCCCCCGCGCAGAGGCCGGGGCTGAGGGGTGTTGATTGACGGCGGAGGTGGGGGCACGCAGGGGGGCTCCGGGGTTGGGGGGATGCCCTGGCTCTCGACTCTGGCTCTGGTCACTCGCAAGAGGAGAGTTGGTGTCTGGTACTCTTGGCCAGGATGGGTGGCAACTTTGGAGAAGTGGCAGTGTGGGATTGCGCGAAGTGTAGTATGGAACTTCGCAGTTACCGCAGAGCGGGAAACTGTTCCCCCCAAATGTGTTTAAAATTAAGTTTAATGCAGTTATTTTTTGCGGGAGGGGGGGGATGGATTGGAAGGATGGGAATGCCATGGTTAAAGAAGCCCTTAGCAGCAGATGGAGAGATTAGGATATTGCTGAGGACTCAAGAGATACAATTGCTTGAAGCTTTTATGTTTAATAACCTAAATCTTGTCTTTCCTCCTATTTTCTAAGTACCAGTCATTATTTTCTTCAGTAGCTTTTTTTCTTTTGACTCTTCTCCTTCTATACCTTTCTTGAAGAACTTGCTAAGTAATACCTGTAACCTATTCTTGAACTGTTAACTGCAAAAGACCAAGTTGTGAATGGTCGTTTTGCTTGTCCTTTTTGGATGTGTTATTGTGTTAAAACTGAGGTTTAAATAATCTCCTTGAATATGAGTTCCCATATTTATTTCCAGGTGGATTGCCCCATTAGTGGTAGTGCAGAATCTTCTTGCCTCTTTGTGTCTGGGGATTGTAATTTTGGGGAGGAAGAGGGTGAATATGAACAGGTGAAAAATAAAATGGCATATAATTACACTTTTCGTTTTTCTGAATGCAGTAGAGTTTATCATCCTCCTACAGTTTTGTAGGCTGTAGGAGCTATGTCCATTGATAAAAAGGTTTTGAAGACTTGTTTTGTAATTGCTGTCAGAGTAATTATTCCAGTCTTTAGAATGTGATGACTTTTAGAATAAAAATAGCTTAATATTTTGAGACCAGTGATCTAGTACAGTCGACTTGCTTTAAACAAAATTTTTGAATAGCTACTAATGAGGAAACAAACTTGGAAAGGTTAAAGCGACTTGCCCAAGATATTACAGTTAACAGGGAAAGGACCAGGTTTTGTGTAAGTGTGAGAGCACATGAGAGCGATGTACTTGACAAAGATTAGTTCTTTTGGGAGGGCAGAGTGTGTTTTAATGAATGGAAGTTATTTGAAGTAGTTGAGTCTGATCAGTTTCAGTAGGTGAACAAGACACTTAATGAAATGGTCAAAAAGCAAGGATGTGACAAAAGACAAAGTTTCTTGTGAAGCTAAGAAGATTTTGCATAGTTTCAGAAGTGTCTTCCTCAGTGGTGATGTGTTAATAGATGAAGAAGCTCTTCTGAATGCATGTTTGTTGTAGGGATTTTCAGTTTTCTTAGACCTTGGTGGCAAAGTAAAACTTTTCAGACTCTTGAATAGACATGAAGTTGGTTATAGAACTTAGTCCTGACTATAGATACTGGCATTTGCTTCTGTACCTGTGGTTTATAAATAATGCATTTTGGTTAGTGCTTAGGCATTCCACTGTGTTCATGTTAGCCTTCTTTTAATGTTCTTTAAAGCATAAACCTTTTTCATATTGTAGTGCAGCAGAAAGGGGTAATATATGTAAGGCATACTGGAATAAATGGTCAAGGCTGCTCACAGCTTGTAGTTTTTGGGTCATAAAGCATGAGGACTCTTTTAACACCCTTGTAACTTTCTCATACTTAAGGTGCACTGGTTGAAAAACTGCTTTTTAAAGTGTTTATTTGCATGTAAGGTGGGGGCTCATTTAGGCTGCCTTAATCTTACCTTTCTCTGGGCTTTACCGCTCTCTCTTCCATTTTTATTTTCTTGATAACTTATGTGCAAGGAGTAGTATATGCTGGACACAGTGTTGGACCCTGAGAATTAAAAAGTGAATAATAGTTGCTGTCTTCTTGTTGCTGTAGTCTTAGTGGGTGTACAGAGGCTGTGGGAGAACAGGAGAGAATGATTAAATTTGTAGAAGGTGTGGGCGCAGTTTACAGAAAATAATATGGAATTAGGTTTGTCAAACTGGGGAGATGGGTCATTTCAAACATAAGGAACTCTGGGTTCACTGAGGTGCCAAGTGTTGGGGTAAGGCCAGTGGTGATATGTTACTGAAAAGGAGAGTGACTGGAGATGAGCCTGCAAATGTCCATCCTAGATTTTGAAGAACCATGCTTATTAAGTTAAAAGTGAGGTTTATATCTTTATCCTGTAGCAAAGGAAAGAGCAAAATATTTTTCAGAGGGGAGCAATGTGATTTAGAGATCATTTAGGCATCAGTGTGGGCAATTAAGTGGAGGCCCTACATATAAGAAAGTCACATTTGAGATAGTGTGAAGTTAGTGAATCTGAATCTATTTTAAACTTGGATATAGGATATTTTGTTTCTGTGATCTCTTTTGTAGTGAGCTTGAGGACTCAGTTCAATTGCTCTGTAATACAGGGTAATTTAAAATGTTTTGAAAAGAGCAATCAAAACAATGAAACCCATATAGTGGTACTGTAGGTAGGCATTCAGGCTTTCAGAACTTGTCTTCTCAGTTAGGCTGAGGCAGACTGTAGCAGTTAAGCTGGAAAAATCACCCCTTTGCTCACCAGAAGTGAGAGCCACCAAGCTTAAAGGTTATGGCTGTCCTGATGGTCTGTGAGGATATGAACTGTAAACATTCTGTGAAATTGGGTGGAGGACAGAGTTTTCCCTTCTGTATGGTGGTGGTGGTTTAGTTTCTAAGTCATGTCTGATTCTTGAGACCCCATGGACTGGGGTTCCTGCCAGGTTCCTCTGTCCATGGGATTTTCCCAAGCCAAGCGCGAATACCTGAGTGGGTTGGCATTCCTTTCTTCAGGGAATCTTCCCAACCAGGGATTGAACCGAAGTCTCTTGCATTGGTAGGTGGATTCTGAACCACCAGGGAAGCCCAGAGCAACATATAGGTTCCTAAAAGTCACCATGGTAGGCAGAATTGTGCAGTAAAAACTATAGGCCTTTTGGGGAAAATGGTACTGGGACACAACACTCAAAACATTGTTAGTGACTTTATTTTTTTAAAAAGGAACCTGATAAAAATAGTAGCATAGTTTTATACATGTTAAATGATTAAGGAATACATAAATACCACAGGTACTGGAGAAGACTCTTCAGAGTCCTTTGGACAGCAAGGAGATCAAAGCAGTCAATCCTAAAGGAAATCAACTCTGAATATAGATTGGAAGGACTGATGCTGAAGCTGAAGCTCCAACGTGAAGCTGATGTGAAGAGCTGACTCATTGTGAAAAGACCCTGATGCTGGGAAAGATTGAGGGCAGGAAGAGAAGGGGACGACAGAGGAGATGGTTGGATGGTATCATCGACTCAATGAATTTGAGTTTGACCAAACTCCTGGAGATAATGAAGGACAGGGAAGCCTGGGGTGCTGCAGTCCATGGGGTTGCAAAAGTTGGACACAGCTGAGCAGCTGAACAAATACCATGATAAATGTGACACTTTACCTTGAAAAAGACCTGGTTTGCTTGTGGAAATGGCATCAGAAGGGTTGCTGCTTGTGAGTTATTGTAAAGTGATGGAAAGAGGGTTACCTGAAATCAAATGGAATGTTATAATAACACCAAATGTGGATAGATGTGGCTCAGCGTATGTGTACACACAGACTGAACTGATGGAGCTGATAGGTGTTTTAAGGTGTGTGTATTTTGTAAATTTCTATGTAGCTCTGTTCAGCCAGGGGCAGGTTCTACCTTTTTTAAGTGTTTTTCTCAGACAAAATCATACATAAGCAGATGGGAATTTTGTGCTGTGCTCAAGTTTTCTAATATATCAGTCACGTTGGAACAGATTATTTTCAGAATAAATGATATAGCAGAACTGATTACACTTCAACGTAGCATTTTAAAGTAGTGCTAAAACTCAGTTCCAAAAATACCTGAAACATGCTATTTTAGACTTGCTGCTGTAATCGGGATGGTTGGAAAGTGTCATCGACTCAGTGGACATTAATTTGAGCCAACTCTGGGAGATAGTAGAGAATGGAGGCGCCTGGTGTGCTGCAGTTTATGGGGTCGAAAAGAGTCAAGACTTAGCGACTGAACAACAGCAACAGTAGTGGGGCTTATGCTCTTTTATTTCAAGTGGGCTTATAATGGTGCAGAGAGAAAAACAAATGAACCAATAAAGTGCTCATCAGGTTACATGAGGAATACACAAAGCATTTGGGGGATGCTAAAGAAGGAGCAGAGGCTTCCCTGGTGGCTCAAATGGTAAAGAATCTGCCTGCGGTACAGGAGACCTGGGTTCAATCCCTGGGTTGGGAAGATTCCGCTGGAGAAGGGAATGGCTACCCACTCCAGTATTCTTACGTGGAGAATTTCATGGACAGAGGAACCTGGCGAGTCGCAAGAGTTGGACATGAGTTAGCAACTAAATCACCACCGCCAAAGAAGGAGCATCTAATTCTGCTTCGGAAACGGGGGATTCACTGCAGAGGCCTTTGGGCTGAATGTTGAAAGTTGAATAGAGGTTTGTTAGACTGAGTAGGGCATTTCAGTGGGAAGAAAGATCATGTGCAAAGACAGGTTATGTACAATTTGGACTGAAAAACAGGTTGCAAAGATGTAAGGGACAGGAGGAGTTGCCAGAAATAGTTTGTGAATGGTCTTAAGCTCTTTCTTAAAGTGCTGGGATGTAAGTTTGTGTATAATAGGGATTCATTGAGACTTTAGGTGGGTAGGGGTGGGGAAATTGTGTGTGT